CAAGACATCATCTCTGGCCGGGCCTGGTGGCTCACACCTGTAATCCCAGCACTTTGGGAGGCTGAGGTGGGTGGATCACCGGAGGTCAGGAGTTCAAGACCAGCCTGGCCAACATGGTGAGACCCCCATGTCTACTAAAAATACAAAAATTAGCTGGGCACAGTGGCGCGCTCCTGTAATCCCAGCTACTCGAGGGGGCTAAGACAGGAGAATCGCTTGAACCCAGGAGGCAGAGGTTGCAGTGAGCCAAGATGGAGCCACTGCACTCCAGCCTGGGTGACATAGTGAGACTCTGTCTCTAAATAAAAGAAAGTCATCTGTACTATTGCATATTACTCAGTAGTTTCTTTCTCTTTATTGTTGAGTAGTAGTCTATTGTATGCATGTACCAGTTTGTTCATCTACTGGTGGACATTGAGTTAGCAGGTTTTGGCTATTAAAAATAAAGCTGGAGGCCAGGTGCGATATCTCACGCCTATAGTCCCAGCACTTTGGGAGGCCGAGGCAGGCGGATCATCTAAGGTTGGGAGTTTGAGACCAGCCTGACTGACATGGAGAAACCCCATCTCTACTAAAAATATGAAGTTAGCCAGGCGTGGTGGCGCATGCCTGTAAACCCAGCCAGGAGGCTGAGGCAATAGAATTGCTTGAACCCGGGAGGTGGAGGTTGCAGTCAGCTGAGATTGCACCATTGCGCACTCCAGCCTGGGCAACAAGAGCGAAACTCTTGTCTCAAAAAAAAAACAGAAAGACAAAAATAAACCTGGTGTGAATATTTATGTACAGGTTTTGTGTGAACATGCGATTTTATTTCTCTTGGTTGGCATGCACAGAAATGAGATTGCTGGGTTTTGTGGAAAGTGTTTATTTTTCCAGGGTACATATAATCCTGTGAGTGTTTATTTAATTTTAAAAGTAATTGCTAAACTGTTTGCTAAAGTGACTGTACTATATTTTCTTCCCCTAACAGTGTATTAATTTTTTTTTTTTTTTTTTGAGACAGGGTCTTGCTCTGTCACCCAGGGTGGAGTGCAGTGGTGCGATACTGTCTTACTGCAACATTGACCTCCTGGGCTCAAGTGATCCTCCTGCCTCAGCCTCCTGGCTGGGACCACAGGCGTGTACCACCACACCTGGTAATTTGCTTTGATTTTTAGTAGAGAAGAGGTCTCACTATGTTGCCCTGACTGGTGTTGAACTCTTGGGCTCAAGTGATTCGTCTACCTCAGCCTCCCAAAGTGCTGGGATTACACGAGTGAACCACTGTGCCTGGCCTCATTGTGGGTTTCTTTTGCATTTCCCTAATGCAAAGTGATATTGAGCATCTTTTCATGTGTTTATTTGACATTCATACCATCTTCGGTGATGAGAAACTGTGTTTATGCATTGCTTAATGATGGGGATGTGTTGTGAGAAATTTTTTAGGTGATCACATCATTGTGCAAATATAGAGTATACTTACACAAGCCTAGATGGTATACCTACTACACACATAGGCTGTGGTACACAGTATTACTCTTAGGCTACAAATCTATATAGCATGTTACTGTACTGAATATTGTTGGCAGTGGTAACATAATGTTAAGTATTTATGTATCTAAACATATCTAAACATAGAAAAGGTAAGTAAAAATACAGCATAGAAGATAAAAGTGGTATATCTGAATAGGTCACTTACCATGAATGGAACTTGCAGGACAGGAAGTTGCTTGGAACGAGTCATTGTATGAGTGGTGTGTGAATGTGCAGGCCTAGGACATTACTGTATACTACCATAGATGAACACTGTACAGTTAGGATACACTAAATTGATAAATATCTTTCTTAGTTTGTTTTTTGAGACAGAGTCTTGCTCTGTCGCCCAGGCTGGAATGCAGTGGCATTGTCTCCGCTCACTGCAGTCTCGGCCTCCCAGGTTCAAGCGACTATTCTGCCTCAGCCTCCTGAATAGCTGGGATTACAGGTGTGTGCCACCACACCCTACCAATTTTTGTGTTTTTAGTAGAGATGGGGTTTCACCATGTTGGCCAGGCTGGTCTCGAACTTCTGACCTCAGGTGATCCACCTGCTGCGGCCTCCCAAAGTGCTGGGATTACAGACGTGAGCCACCACACCCGGCCAGAGATGAGGTCTTGCTGTGTTGCCCAGGGCGTTGAACTCCTGGGCTCCAGCAATCCTTCCACCTCAGCTTCCCAAGAAGCTGGGACTGTGGGTGCACACCATCATGCCTAGCTGTTTTGTGAACTCTTGACCAGTACTCTCTGCAGACAGAAAGTTCAGTGTGGTTAGGAGTTAAGACTTGTAACCTCTGACTTCAAGTGATCTACCCACCTTGACCTCCCAAAGTGCTGGGATTACAGGTGTGAGCCACTGTGCCTGGTCAAAAATACCTTTCTTTAAGAATAAATTTAATTTAACTTACTAGTTGATCATTGTATATAGGTCTGTTGTTAACTGAAACATGCGGTGCATGTCTTTATTTGGGATCTGACTTATGTGGAAGTATTTGCATTATCTTCCTTCTAGATTTAGAGCATCTTGACAGTAGGAACAAGTGCCTTGTACAACTTTGTATGCTTAGTAAGTTATCAATTTGCTGTGGCCAGGTGCAGTGGCTCACGCCTATAATCCCAGCACTTTGGGAGGCCGAGGCAGGCAGATCCCCTGAGGTCAGGAGTTCAAGACCAGCGTGGCCAACATGGTGAAACCCCGTGTTTGTTTGTTTGTTTATTTATTTATTTTTGAGATGGAGTTCACTCTGTCGCCCAGGCTGGAGTGCAGTGGCGCAATCTCGGCTCACTGCAACTTCCGACTCCTGGTTTCACGCCATCTCCTGCCTCAGCAGGAGTGGGACTACAGCCGCCTGCCACCACGCCCGGCTAATTTTTTGTATTTTTAGTAGAGACGGGGTTTCACTGTGTTAGCCAGGATGGTCTCGATCTCCTGACCTTGTGATCCACCCGCCTCGGCCTCCCGAAGTGCTGAAATTACAGGCATGAGCCACTGCGCCTGGCCTACCCTGTGTTTATTAAAAATACAGAAATTGGCTATTTGTGGTGGCACACCTATAGTCTCAGTGACTCAGAAGGTTGAGGCAGGAGATTCTCTTGAACCCAGGAGGCAGTGAGCAGAGATCGTGCCAGGGGACTTCAGCCTGGGCGACAGAACGAGACTGCGTCTCAAAATAATAATAATAATTTGTTGAATATGTGACTACTGGTTTTATTTTTATTTTTATTTTTTGAGCTGGAGTCTCGCTGTGTTGCCCAGGCTGAAGTACAATGGTGTGCAGTGGTGCAATCTTAGCTCACTGCAACCTCTGCCTCCTGGGTTCAGGTGATTCTTCTGTTTCAGCCTCCCAAGTAGCTGAGACTACAGGCATGCACTCCTGTGCCTGACTAATTTTTTATTTTTAGTAGAAATGGGGTTTCACCATGTTGGTCAGCCTGGTCTCGAACTCCTAGTCTCAAGTGATCTGCCTACCTCGACCTTCCAAAAAGGTGGGATTATAGGTGTGAGCCATGGTGCCCAGCCAGACTATTGGTTTTGTTTTGTTTTACTTTATTTTATTTTACTTTATTTATTTTAAGATGGAGTTTGTTTCTCTCTTGTCGCCCAGGCTGGAGTGCAGTGGCATGATCTCGGCTTACTGCAACCTCCGCCTCCCAGGTTCAAGCGATTCTCCTGCCTCAGCCTCCTAAGTAGCTGGGATTACAGGCGCCCACCACCGTGCCTTGCTAATTTTTGTATTTTCAGTAGAAATGGGGTTTCACCATCTT